ACTTTGCTTTAGGTTATCTATAGGTATTCTCAGTTTGTTAAGTTCTATGTTACCATTCAGGATAGTGCTACAGTGCGACATGTGTATGGAAGTATAATTGCATTCGAAGTCATATCGAACGACTTATTGATACTTAAATCGATTGGCAACGACAATCGTATCAGGCGAACTTATCCTTGGAGGAAATTTCAAAAGCATTTCCTCTTTCTTTGTGATTTAGCCGACGTGAGTAAGGATGCAAGTCTTATCACCCGTGACCATAAGTATAACGTACATTTATGTAGGAGCCTAACACTTAGTTTTTAAGTTCAAGAGAAAAAAGACCGTATAGGTAGACTAGGCAAAGTGCCCATATAAGGGGGCAAAGTTATTAGACAATGGGAATAAGTGAAATAATCCGTAGAAGTAAAGCGCTGCAGGCCTCATTCTGGTTAAATAAAATATGTATTTAGTATTGTGAAGGTTTAATCATGATATCGAATTTAACTTGTATTGGAATTATTTAGGCTAATAAGAAAGGATTCTAATGAAAAGGTTTACAACCTTAAGCTTAATTTGGAAATTAAAGGTAAGCCGACTAAACGTACCCCAGGAGTATACTCATGAGCCTATGCCTCGCATTAGCCGACGAACAGTCGTAATTGGCGTTCACAACAAAAAATTTGATCATTTATTTGCCCAGAAAACCGTCTACTACTTGATATAAGGGAAAATGGCTTCGTTTGCTTATCGCAGTACATACGTGCAGTATATGCACATATCTGGCATTGAAACTAAATGATAGATCGAGGAAATGTTGTCATCGCCGCCAGCTCTCAATGCGTTGCAGGTGAATGGAGCCATTTTTAGTTTTAATTTTTTTTTTTTTTGCAAATTGTTTTGCATATTAATTTATAAAATTTTGTAATTAAAATTTCTTTCGACACAAACCTAATTTCCAAAATACGTCTTGGCGCGCATACAGATACATACTTTTAATAATAAAGTTTTCTATCTAATTAAAAATATCTCAATGAAACGTCAACATCATCGCTTTTATGTTTCGTAAATAATTTTTTTTTTTTTTTTTTTTTATGAAATAAGCCGGAAGTGTTGCTTTACTCAACATCATTACCAAGAGCATATCTTCTTCAACTCTTTTCCTTGCATTTTTTTTTTTTTTTTTTTTTATTTGGAGACGTGGTGTAAACAGGAGTTTGGTGCGTGTTTTCATAGCGAAGCAACATTAAAAACTTTAGAACTCATTCATTTGATATTTGTTCGGAGAGAGTAAACAAAAAATCGTAAAAACTTTTTAATGAGCTTAAAAGTGTGCACACACATACACCCATACACACATACACACATACACACACACACACACACACAAACGCACACACATTGTTCACAGTTTGAATACGGCAACAACAATAATCAGTAAAGTATTTTATATACTATTAAGCAAAAATACATACCTACAAACATAAATACATATACAGACATATTAATGATTTCCCTTATATGTGCGTATATGTGCGCAAATGTGTGATTATGTGGACCTCGAATATGTTATTTATTTAATTATGTCGACAAAAAGAAGAAAAATATATTTTGATTGCTTTAATTAAGACCACTGTCTTAATGGGTACAGATAATCTGTATAGTGATGCCCCAATGAGTGCTCTATGCAGTTTGCTTGTCAAACTTTTAAAGAATTCTTATTAATATTCGTTTGCTCTCATTGAAATAAAAACATTCTTTTTATTGTTGTTGTTATTTTAGTTATCACATATTCGAAAATTTTAGAATAAAGCCATGCGAGAATGCTTTGCTTACTTTAAAGCGAATTTTGAATATACTTCACAAGATCTTGGCGAAATTATGGCTGCTTTTTTAAAGGGGCGTGGGATGCAAAAAGAACATCAAGGATATTATATATCATTGTTGTGCAAGCAAATGTTAAACTAACACGTATGTAGTCAATATTTAGAACGATTACTGAGAGACGGCCAGTTCAGAATTGCCTTCGGAATCGATTGAAATATCTGATGCGAGTCCATGTATATTTGTCGTCAATCTACAGATCATAATATTCGAGACACTTTGATGAATTTAGTTGTGCCGAAATGTCAGAACGAATTCTATTGAAAATATTATATTGGATCGGACTACTTTTATGGTCATTCCTTGTATTACACTATAAGCTTATAAAATATTAATATTAAAAATAGTATATTGATACACTAAATGAATGTGGAAAAGTTGGACGAGATCACTTTTTGAATGGTCGCTCAGGATAAATGTTCTTCGAAAAAAAGAAATCTTTATCTGGCAACAAAGATTAACTTGTACTTGTACTACCTTATGTGATGGAACTTTCACGAAATTCGTAATTATTCGTTTTAACTTACTTAACTTTGGACCAAACTCACCATTCATGTACTAAGAAGATATAATTTTTACGGGAGTAACAACAGCTTACATTATATATTTGTGTCCTTATTCAGGATCAGAAGTTTTGCGTTTAATGATATCCCACAAAACGTGGTAAAATAATAGTAACAGTAAGGTAAAATCATATTTTTCCCCGATCGAACCTTTCTGAGCAACAATCTTTATTAAATACTAAAAATAAAAGAGTACGAAAAATTAGAATTTCGATACCTATTAATATTGGGTGGGCAGAGAAGTTACTTTAGGATACGTTTTCCCTTTTTTATTACAACAACAACAAGTAACACAAACAACTGCATGGATACAACCCATATTAGCAGCACTCAAGGTAGTATTAAAAAGTTAAGAAATAAATTTATTTGAAACGGGTCGGCCTTTATATATTCTACGTCACATCACAATTATTCATATAATGAGTTTTTTACAAAAAAAGCTTTACGTTGAAAGTGGTCGAACAATTTCAAAATATCTCAAAAATTGCGTCCTGTAGGCTGAAAGCAATAATGCAAGACGGACAGAAAGTAGTTCGAAATCGATCGGTATAATAGCTGAAGTCGTAACACTTACTAGACTCCGGCCCGCTCTTTAACTGTTTCTTTTCCCCGACTTTTTTCTAACACTCACTGTATTGCACGTATAGGGGACGCCTCTGAGTGGTTGATCATATTAAACAAAAAAAAAAAGAAGTAGTGTAGGATATGAAAGGTACTTTTAAGAAGCTTCAACGATTTTTGAACGAAAAGTATATCTCGAAATTTGCAGCCTTTCGCTTGTTGTTCGCAACAGCTACTAATCGAAATGGTTGCAAATCACCTCAGCCTATAAAAAATGGAAGTAAAACCGCATCAAGCGGTTACATGTTTCTACTTTGTCACAAGATCCCTTCATGTCTTACTATGTAAAATGTCTAGTGCAAAAGCAATTGAACAACACCGAATATATCTTTTTTTTACATTCATAATTTCTTATGAATATTTTTTCGTTAATTTATTAAGAGTAAAAAAATGGCTTAAATATATGCTAACGATTTTTTTTTTAAGTAAGAAACTTTGCATGACTTGAGATTTTTTTCAAGCAGATGCCAAAACTTTGAATTGCATATCTAATAAGATTAACATAAATGCAAAGTACGGACTTGTGCGCGTTGAAACAAACGGAAAATGCAAAGAAAGAAAAACAAAAAAAAAATATTTCTTTGTTTGTTTGGCAAGACAAGAGAACTATGATTAATTACAAAATATCTAATGAGGTTTTAAATAACTTGAGTGCAAA